AAATTGAGCAATTTTTGAAATGTTTAGGATCAAATTGAGTAACTTTTAAAGGGTTTAGGCTCAAATTGGTAATTTGACAAAATGGGAATCTAAGTTCTAGTTCAAATAATGGCAATTTCACACGTCTCATTGACCGTGCATTTCAGAGCCAGCGTCCCGTCAAATTTAGGCTCAAATTAAGACCAAAATGACTTAGTGACCGGTCGTTGATCAAATCACAAGAAAAATTCCCCACAAACCAATTCACAAATAGATAAACTACTTAGCTAGGGCAAGTAGGGGTCGAATCCATAGGGAAGGTATGAATCAAAGTTAAATCTTACAAAAGAAATTCTAACCTAGAAAAGATATTTTTGGGTTTTTCAAAATAGATAGAAAACAATTAAAAGAAATCTAAACTAAAGATTTAAAATAGAGAGTTTGAGAAAAACAATGAGTAAAAGCATACTTCTTCTCCTTTAGGCAACTATTTTGATCAAGTGAATCATGGATCATGGACACTAAACATAAATTTGGCTTAGATTGCAATCAATTAAGAATCATAAATTACTCCAAATCGGTATATAGCCTAAGACGTAGACATCAACTTTCATCGAAACAAAGTAATCCTCTTAACATCTTAAACAACTCCATTTGAATAATTGGTATAGGAGAGGAATACTCGACCCTCCAACATGCTAAGAAGAATTAACCCGCATCTCGCTGACGATTAATCTCTATTGTTCCTAATCAAACATTCATCCTGTGAAGAATCATAGGACAAGCATTAAGATTTACTTTTCCACATGCATGATAAATCAATACCAAACTTGCCTACGTCAATTTCCATCTCGGCCTAAAGATTTCGACAAGGTTTGATATCCCATTGAACCTAGGACTCCTAGCATTCAATTGTTACTTGGACCAACTTTAGCTTGACTCAAGCTACTTGAATCTAACTATAGCATTCATAAATCTCAAGATATGTTGTACACCAAATCAATCAAAGTATGAACAAATAAGATGAAGCATAGAGATAAGAAACATATTCAAACGGAAAAAAACTCAAATTATTAAGAACAAAAGTCTCACCAATAATTCATTGATCAAAAGTACCTAAGGAAAAGAAGTATAAAAGTTTAGCTACTCATGGTTACAATACTTGGAGGCCGGCTGCCTCCTCCTCTCCTTGACGGCGCAAAACCTAGAGAAAAGATGTATGATATGCTAGGTTTTCTCTCCCAAAAGTTGGCTGAGTTTTAGACTTAAGAGGGTATTTATAGAGGGTGACTTAGGGTTAATTTAGAGCTAAATAAACCCTAAGGAGGTTCTGGGCTGCTCTCCAAGTCTTCAAGCAAGTCCAAATAAGAATTTGGGCTTAATTGGATCAATCCCGCATAAAAGGCCCAGGACAGTTTCTGTCCGCTGAATTCAGGGGCATTTTCCTCCACGAAAACGTTCGAACTGGGTTTCGACCAAAACACGAAAGTTGTAGATCTTGGAGTTAGCTTTCCAACGGCTACTCATACGCCTCAAACGAAGCTCTGGATCAAAAGTCATGGCCAAAATACAGAAAGGTCGCCAAATCTGGAAACAAGTGAAGAGGGTTCAAGGTGAAGACACACATGATGGCATGCTTGGCGCGCGCATGGCTGCATCCCGACTCCCCCTGAGCGCCCATGTGGATGGCTTGTGCGCCAAGGGCGTTGCTCTCAGCCCCCATGTCGCCAGCGCCCATGTGCTTGCTGGTGGCATGTCTCGACTAGCGCTGGGCGCCCATGTGCTATGCTTGGCGCCCCATGTGGTTTGCCTCACGACCCATGTACTGCAGTGTTTTGACACATCTTGACATGTTTTCTTGCCTTGAAATTCAACTTTGCTCCTTTGCTTCAAACTCTTGAAAATCAATCTTATGATGATAAAATTGACTCTTCAAGCTCTTCAATCACAAACATATTGGCTCCATTCTTCATCCAAATTGTCATTGGAAAATATTTGTGTAAATAATCATCCAAAAAGGCTCCAAAAAGGTACAAAAATGGTGATTTTGCACTTTTCTTCACTTTAACACCTATAAACACAAATATACCAATTATAAGGCATAATCAAGCATAAAATACCCTAAAAGCATAGGAAAATGACCATAAAAAGATGCATAATTTTGGTCCGATCACTTAGGTATTTTTTTGATAGAAATGGGTTGATCCTTTGTTTTTTCCTTCTTACAAATGCAAATAGGATTTTTCTTGGGGATACATCAAATGCAAATGGGCTTTGCTTCTTGATAACTATGACTTAGCACAATTTCTCGAATCTCGATACAAAAAAAAAATCTCGAATCGAATTCTTCTTTTAAGACATGCATAGGGTGGATGAGTTATTGAATTTTAGGGGACTTGATGCTAATAATAGTAACTAATAATAGTGCATTTGAAAGCTCATGGAAAGTAAAATTTTGATCCAAACACACTGATCTTCTACAATAATTTTTGAGATTGCATAATTAAATTGAGTAAATTTTAAACGTTCATTTACTAGTACCACCAATTAACATACAAGAGCAAGAACATTTTTTGTTTTTTTTTTTCTTGTTTCTGATATCGTTTTGGGGAGCATACATTGGATTGTACGGGGAGAGATTGCTGAGTGATTTGCTGTCCATAGTACATGGATAGATTGAAAATGACCTCCTTGTGGCCATACCCTTTCACCCTTAACTTATTTTTGATATTTTGTTAATTACTAGTACTACTATATGATTTCTCTTTTTATTTTGTCTTGTGGATTGAAATTAATCCAACGTAACTGATCATCTTTCTGTTTCGAGTTCAACTTACAATGAATTGTATTTTTAGCTTTGTGTTATTTTTTTAATAACATGTTTAGCTTTTTTTCATATCTCAAATTTTGGCACCTTTGAAACAAGCATGAACATAATTGGGATGCGAATGCGATGGATCGTAAATTACTGCAGTAATTATCATCTTCCATTCCATGGATCGTAAATTACTGCAGTAATTATCATCTTCCATTCCATGGAACTGATCAATATGATTCAGATTTCGGCATAAACTGTTGTATAGTTTTAGATGTGGAGATGCGTGAATGTGGTTTATCCCATATTGAATAAGGAAAACAAGAGTGAGTTGTTTAAATATATAAGTGGCCAACTTAGTATTACTTGGGTCAAGTCAAGAAGTGGGCTAAACCTATTGGTAGTGGGCTTGGAATTTACTTAATGGACTAATAGGATTATTATTAAGATTATTTATAGTCTTTGACATGACACTTGGGCTTCTTTAACTTTTGTCTATTGGTTATTTTGAAGTTATCCGAAATTGCTTGTTCATTGAAAAAACAATTAGTTCATTGAATTAACCAAGGAGATACATTGTGATAAGGATGAACACAGATTCGAACAACTTATAAAGTCTCTTGTTAAATCATTTTTCAAATTTAAACCCTTTAAGAAAGTGTTTCATTTTACGCCTCAAAGTTGTTCCCTATTGAAAATATCTAACATAAACATGGTTAAAAGGTTGAGCGTTCCAAACAAATTACAATATGAAAGAGTGTTAAGTATGCAAAGTGTTTTAAGCATCCAATTCTTTAGCCTACACGTGGTACTCATCTTATATCTTGTTGAATGTTGATATAATATAGTTTATTTTTTGTTGGAATTTATGTACTGTAGTTAAAAAGTTGAGCTTTCCAAACAAATTACAATATGAAAGAGTTTTAAGCATGGAAAGAGTTTTTAGCACTTCTACAGCCACTGGAAACTAGATAAACCAAAGATAGAAAGAACGCAATTTTCAGATGGCTAGTGATGCAATGAAGATGTCAAAGGGTAATCTAAAAATGAATCCATCTAATCAATCTGTGTTAAATTCAGTAGTTAAAATTTTGCTTCACCATTTTCTTCTTGAGCTCAAGAAACGCTGTTGACATTGATCAAATAATTTAATTGTAAATACTGCAAGGAGGGTTTGACAAAGTTCTCTTTACCTAGTCCTTTTCTTTGGGTCATCATGTGTACCAGTCTTAAAAGGTGTAAACCAAATTTGAAGTTAACAAATGCTTTATAAATAACCTAACATTACTTTTCTTTATCTTTTCCCAAAGATGCCGATTGCAGCAGGCTTCTTTCCTTGTTAACTTGACGCTCTCTTTTTTGAAGTCGTTGGAACATCTCTTTCTTAAGCTTGCAAAGATTATGCAGCAGATGTTTGTTCTAAAGCTAAAAACTCGAAAATGCAAGTACATATGGTGCTTATATACTTATACATTTTACTTAATCATTTGTTGAATTGAGCAAAATTGAGGTAATTTCACGTGAAAAAGAAATGTTGTATTGAAATATGAAAGAACTTTACCATGCAGCTTTAGTATCAAAAGATCCTTAGGTGTAGGTTAGTTTTACTGACCTCTATGGAGTTATAAAAAGAGAATATAGTAATATAACTTGAATACAACAACAAAAGGTCTAGGTGGTGTTGCTGGTTATCATGCTAGCCTTACACACTAGAGGTCTTCGGTTCGAACCCGAGCTTAGACATGTGTGTTTTTTTGAATGGACACCTTTTTGCTTCAGAGAAAATTTTCTTTTCTAAATTGGAAAATTCTGTTCAAAGATGAAAAACCTACACCATTTTAACTTGATGTAGACACTCGATTTTGCACCTAGGGCCATAACGGGTGTTTTTTTTTGAAAAACCGGTTCGAACCCGAGCTTAGACATGTGTTTTTTTTTTTGAAAGGTCACCTTTTTGCTTTATTAATTTGATTTTTTTTCTTTTTTTGTTTGGGTGCCGATGGGCTGGGAGAGACTCCATTTTGCCAATGAGCCAGCAACATTGTTGCTCTGGCATGGAACATGAGTGATAGACCAGTTCTTTCTTTAACTAAGAATAGCTCTAGCTGCATTAATGAGTTTCTTACTTTCCTTTGACGTATTTATCACTTTGATAATTGATTTCCTAACATGGTTCTATTTTCCAAAGCTGGAAAGAGATACAGAGAAGATTTTCTTTTCTAAATTGGAAAATTCTGTTCAAAGATGAAAAACCTACATCTTTTTAACTTGGTGTAGACACTCGATTTTACACCTAAGGGCATAACGGATAATTTAGAAAATTCTGTCCGGAACCAATTCCCTTTTCCTATTGTCCTTTCTTTTGATTTCTTTCATTCCATCTCTTACCATTTTATCTTCTTTCAGATTAACCATTTCCCTTTTTTAAAAAAAATAAAGAAAGAACAAATCTTTTTATTTTGGATTTAGGCAACAACTTTGGCTTCTTTTCTCTCTCCTTTTTGTTTTAGACTTTTGGACCAAGTTCCTTTTAATTCTCTTCCATTGCTTTTGTTTGGGTCAAGTTACGTATGGCTTCATCTGCTTTGAACCATGGCCATGTTCTTGGGCTGATTTCATTGTCCCCTTTCATTAACCCCTTTGCTTTTGAGTCCAATTCTTTTTGGGTATTTGGAGTTAATGGCATTGGGTTGTGGTAGCCCAATTTGAGTTATACAAAAGGAAGAAACAAGCCCTTCTTTTTATTTATTTCACTTTCAAGGAAAAATACAAAGAAATGAAAAAACAACAAAAAAAACAAAAAAAAAAAAGAATTGCTATTTCTTCACATGATCTGAAAACAATGCACGCTTTCTCTGTTTTCCACCCTCTTGTCTCCTGCAAACAAATATTAAATGGGATTAGTAAGAGTCAAGAGCTAACAACCAAGAGGATAAGACAAAGACAAGAATAAAATGCAGGACTGCAACAGCTAGAAAACCTACTAACAGTGCAATATTAGACCAAATGACAAACAAAGGTATGAAATCAGGCCTATACTAACATAAGATCAAGCAAAGACTGAAAATGCTGAGACTATTAATGCTTGAGCATGCACTAGCAGACTAAGAAGTAGTCTAAGTCAGAACCAAATTCACAATCACAAACAAACAAATAAATCTCAAAAAAGGATCTTGCAAAGTGCTTGAACTTGGCTATAAAAAGCATCATTTTTTTAAAAAGAGGGAAGACAAAAAAAATCACAAAAGAGAAAAGCCAACAATCACACTGAACAGAAAAATCACCAAACCACAAAAAGATTTTCTTTTACATAAAAACAGAAAACCAAAAAAATGTTTTCCTTTCCTTCTTTGTCTAGTTTCTTTCTAAAAAGCGAAAACACATAAGCATTTTCCTTTAGAAATTAGAGACAAAAAAAAAAAAGTGAAACTTGAAAGCAAAAGGGGAGTTTCGAGTTAGGGTAAATCTAGGAGTTTTGAGGTGAATTTTGGTGACTTGGAGGTTAGATTTGGTTTTAGAAGGAGAAAATATAATTTTTGGCATTTTTTTGGAAATTTTCCGGTGATCGGAAAAGTAAACGGCGACGGCATTGGTGGCCGGTGGCGGCGGTAGCAGTGGTTGGAGAAGTTTGGGGGGTGAGGCTCCAGTCCAATACGCCCTCCCTCCATTACTTTCCAATACAGAGTTGGATGGAGGACACATGTTAAAATTATGTTCAACGGCTTAGATTGAAATTTCTAATGACCCTCCCTTCACCCATTAATCTCACGTTATCACTCTACCTTTCATGTTCACCGTCCTCTGTCACAATGCTTTTTATCAAGCTATCTCTTTAATGGCGCAACAACTGCAAATTTTTTTTTTCCATCCATTCTTTTAACACTCAATCATTGAACTAGGATTCTAAATGGGTTCTCCTCTTCTGTAATTCACTAATTCTTTCATTTATTTATTGTTTTTTTTTCTATTATAATTATAATAATTTTCCCCCATTGTTTTAAACCCTTCTCGATTTCTTGCATACAATAAGAAATCAAATATCTCTCTCTCATATTTCTCCTTGGTTCATATAAACATTTTTTCCCCTTTTCAATGGCTTTTCCCCTTCTTGTTGGATGATTGGATTGATAAAATGGAAGATTATTCAATAAATTCAAAGAAAGATCTATTGCTTCTAAAGGAAAAACAACATATCCTGATCACTATGAAGAAAAAAGAAGAATTGGGTGGACTAAAATTACTTTCAAGATTTTAATCAGTAGCAAAATATAGAGTTGGTCATTTGATTACAGTTTCTGGCCAAAAAATCTAGTTTCAGTAGCAAAATATAGACAGAAGATGGGGGAAGATGGGAAACGTGAGATTAACGGGGTAAAGGGATGGTGAGTTGAGTTTTTAATTTAAGCCATTGAATATAATTTTAATAGGTGTCATACATCCAACACTGTATTGGAAAGTAATGGAGGGAGATTGTATTGGACTGGAGCCAAACCCAAGTTTGGGTGGCGGTCAGTGGTTTTTGGTTTTTGGGTTGTGTTTGAATTAGACCTGCTCATGGGCCGGACCGGGCCAGGTTCAGACCGAACTTTTACTACATAATTACATAAATCTTGCAAGCCCGGGCCCAAAATTTACCACACTTTTCTATTTTATTTTTGCACATATTTATCTCACACTTATTGCTCAAAAAGACCCATGAACTTATACAAAACGGCTGAATAAGCTCCTGAACTCTCTAATTGTAGCCAAATAAGCCCCTGAACTCTTAAAAAACTAAATAAGCCCTTTTCATGCAGCTAAATGATGAAATAAGGACTAAATATTTCAAGATTTTCTCAAATAAAGATCAAAATACACAATTCCAATAAATTAAAACACGTACTTAACAAATTTTTACAAAATAAACCCTTTTCGGGTGGCTAAATGATGAAATAAGGGCTTATTTGTCCTTTTTTGAGAGTTCAGGTGGTTTTTTTTTTTGGCACAATAAGAGTTCAGGTGTTTAGTCAGTATAATTTTGGAACAATTTCGATTGAAATGAAAAACCAATTACAATACCCCATTTTTAGTACAAGACTGTTCTTTTTAATAGAACTTTGTAATTCGGATAGACCAAGGTGGGACGACATTGTAAAATATGCAGCGAAAAACCAGGAATTAGTTGGGCGTTTAACATGGTTCATTGAGTTTAATCATCTATAAAAACTACTACTCCTATAAAGTATGCATATTTCAGGCCTAGATTGACGTTATGAAAAAACTTGATCTCAACTAATCAACACCCAAACAATGGAAGCAAATGCAAACTGATAGTATAATTTATAAAAAGCTAAATTGAGATTGAGATTGGAACAGGCAAGCGACAACATTTGCTCTTAATTTCGTGCTCCCTTGCATATGGGGTTCAATTCAATCACGTTTGCTCTTACAAAGAGCATCAGGTGATTCCACCAGTAATTAAAACTATCAATCAATTTAAACACTCCGATCATATATGCTTCGTCCCCTCCTTGATCATAGCTAGTGCAAAAAAACCCCATTTGTTTACTACCATGGGAAATTTCGGCACCAATATTGGCCTCCATCTTTTGGTAATTTTATTTGCAATTGGTGTAAATACATCAAAATGCAAATTGTCTTCTAAGATTGGAAATGCGTGGAATGATCCAACCGATGACGGGAAAGAAGGGCTTGCTTTCTGATGCCTCCTTGATAAACTAGTAGCAAAATACCTTCTACCGTCCTTGCATGAAGACATAGCACGATTTAAACTTGGAGATCCATGCATGTTTGCTAGGGAAGCAAATGCCCTTTGGTTGCAGCATATATAAGGCACCTGTTTTGGCTTAGTAAAATGAAATGAAACAGCACTAATTAAGACATATATATATACACTTCATTCACTTAATCCATTAAACTTGCACGAAATGGGATAAAAAATTATATGTTATTCAATTGGAATAAAAGTTTAGGTTTCAAAACAGAACTATGTTAAAATAATACTATTACAAATAATTAAATGATTCCTTTTTTCACTTACCATAATGTTCACCTTAGATTCTTCATAATGCTTTCCACACCCACTTCCCAACTTCATGTTTTCCGGATCATCCCGTAGCTTGTTTACTGTGTTAAAATATAGAAACAAACAAATATTAGCAAGTATTTGGCAAAGTAGTAGTGAAGTATTCATTTCGTTAATTAAATTGACTGGAGTATCTAATTTGTCTAAAATTACATTGCTTATGAAAATCAGACATCCAAGTAAATCTACTAAGCATCACATGAACGATCAACCAGCCAGCATGGAACAAAAAATAACGAATAAGAAAAGAAAGTACATAGCTTAAAAGAAATAAAAAAAGCAAGTCTAAATTGTTTAGTAGGAAGTTCAATTACTTCAAGTGAAAGACCATATAAATATACATAAATATAATATAAGTGAAAGGAAGAGATATGACATGGGAAAAATGGAACCTTGAAGCCTTTCAACACCCTTTAAAGGAAAGTCCTCGTAAGTCAAATTCGCACTATTAAGTAAATTTCCCACTTCTGAAGCCACTTGAGCTTCTATGTCCTATGAAGAAAATTAAAAAAATAAAAAATAAAAAATTAAGACTTGTTGAGTCATAATGACTTCGTCTATTATATTATATTATATCACTCCATGTAAGTATTAGAGAGAACATACCTTCTGATCAGTTGCCTGGCATTGAAGACGATATGACTCAATTTTATCACCA